CTTAATAAAATTTTATAGAGGATGCAGTGTTATTAAAGCCTTGCTATACATACTACCATATATTTTTCAATATTTTATTATTTTTTATGTGTATGAGTGTATTGCCTGCATATATGAAAGTGCGCCTGTGTTGTGCAATGCCTGCAGAGGTCAGAAGACAGCATCAGATTCCCTGGAACTGGAGTTACAGATGGTTCTTAGCCACCATGTGGGTGCTGGGAATAGAACCTGGGTTCTCTGCAAGAACAGCCAGTGCTCTTAACCACTGAGCCATCTCTCCAGCCCTATGCTATTACATCTTTAAGCCACCTCGGAGACCTGTCTCTAGAGAATCACAAGTGGCTAATAAGTTATCTTGTCATCTCAAGGCAGCTACCTGGACCACGCAGACAACAATCAGAAGGAATACCCAGAGCTGCCCTCACTTCTCAGCAAGCTTTTGAAGGAGTCACCTGATTTCCCTTGCAGTTCATCTAGTCTTGCCACCTGGTTGAATCACATGGAGGATGCGTGCCTGTGTTCTCTCTGCCCTTAGTTTTCTACTGACTGCAGATTCAAGGGTCTTTCCCCTCTGTAGCTGATGCCCGTGGTGTTGGGATTCACTTTACATACTTAACTCCATGTAGCAGTATGTAACAAAGGAATATCTGGTCACCTCTCTCACAGTTTTAAGCTGCTATGGTCTCCTCGGTTTCATCTGACTAGGTTGCTAACCTGCAGTTAAGCAGGGCCTGGTAACTGTCTACTTTACATCTTTGTCCCTTCTGATCAGGTGTCCTACTCTGTATTTTCAATGCTCTTTTTCTATGTTCTCTTCTTCTCCTTTATGAGTACTTTGCTATCTTCTTAAGTCTGGCTGTGAAATGGTTAGATCCTGGAGCCTAATTGTGTAAGTCTGAACCCAACTTGCCTGGGTACTATCATTTGTCTTTCGAAAAAAAAAATTACATTTTGGCTGGAGAGATGGCTCATCAGTTAAGCACACTGGCTGCTCTTGCAGAGGACTCAGGTTAGAGTCCTAGCACCCACACGGCAGCTAACAACTGCCCATAACTCCAGTTCCAAGGGATCTGATGCGCTCTTCTGACATCTGTGGGCATTGCATGATATGAGTACATTTACATATATGCAGGCATAACACAGATTCACACAAAATGAAAATAAATGAATAAATAAAATATTTTAAAAATTAAAAAAATATTTATTATTTATATTCTATGTGTATGAGTGTAGTATGTAAGTGTACCCATATCTTGTAATGAGAGTGAAGGTCAACAACTGGAGTCTGTTCTCTCCTTCTACCTTGCAGGTCCTGGGGATGGAATTCATTAGGTTTGGCAGCAAGTGTCTTTTTACCTGCTGATCCATCTTGCCAGTCCTAATTTGTCTTTTTTCTCTCTCATTTTTTCATACATGCACTGTGAGGTTTTCCAGGGTCTACAGGACACACAGTACTATAGCAGGTTGAATGCAAAAATCCAAAAGCTACCTGATTCCTACAACGCAGTTCTTTAGGATCGCTTTAAAGGGAATTAAAGATTTTTCTCTTTCTACCTATAAGATCTTTAGTGCTTATCATATTGAGTGTAAAACAATTTAAAATAGGTTTAACAAAGGAAATAATTTTTAAACACTTTCTTGAGTGTAAAACAATTTAAAATAGGTTTAACAAAGGCAATAATTTCTAAACATTTTCTTGAGTGTAAAACAATTTAAAATAGGTTTAACAAAGGCAATAATTTCTAAACAATCACTTTCTTCTTTTTAAAAAACAAAGGCAAAATCCATGATAAGGATTATAACTCTATGCTAATTGGTCAATGTTATTGCTAAAGAAAACTTCATCTTTGAATATCATTCCCCAGGACCCACCATCTTATTTTCTGAGACAGGGTCTCACACTGGCCTGGAACTTGCCAAGCAGGCCAGTGAGGGCCAGAGATTCACCTGTTTCTACAGGAATCCCCAGTACTAGGATTCTAAGTATACACACTACTATGCCCGTTTTGCTTTTTGTTTTTTCTTTTTAAAACATGGGTTCTGGGGATTGAATTCAGGTCCTTGTGCTTTCAATCCAAGCACTTCACAGACTGAGTCATTTCCCTAACTTTTACATTTATTTATTTAAAAATATTATTCATGGGTGAATGAGGCATGGTGGCAGAGGCCACAGAAAGATCTTACTTCAAAGGAAGGAAGGAAGAAAGAAAGAAAGAAAGAAAGAAAGAAAGAAAGAAAAGGAAGAGACTAAAAGGAAGAAAGAAAGAAGGAAAAAGAAGACCTTTTCCTGATATAATCAGGATACTGCTGTCAAGGAGGGTTTTCTCCCTTTCCCCAACCTTCAAGCTCTCTTCTTCCATTGTGGTGACTTCATCTGAATTTTGGTGTGTTTCTCTTTTCTCCTCAAAGGTTCCCTAAGACTGAAATTGCCTCTTTGCAGTATGGCCAGGTTTGCAGCTCTCAGTTGCTTGACTCTCTTCTTTTCCCTAGGTTTTTATATATTCCCATAAACAAATACCTAGAGGGTTACCCTGTGGTAATACTGTGCCCATAACCTAGCACCATCCACAAAAAGGAATGAAGAGCTGATAACCTGACAACTTTTCATATATGGTCCTTTTCTTCACAGAATGGTCATTAGTGAGCTTACTCGTCTGCCACAGATGTCTGCTTCTCTACCAGTTAGACTAGAGCTGTCAATTTTTTATTGTCTCAGGTCTCTAACATAATGAAGTGTCCAGTTCAAGACCCATCTTCTTCATATCTAGCTTCCAGTTTATAGTACATACAGAATGCAAAGGATCTTTTGGATGACAACTGGAGGAAACAACCAGAAGCAATCTAGAGGGTGCGAACATTTGGTGGGACAACTGGCCTATCTCCTCAACAAGTCATTTCCAAAGTAAGGGACTGTTCCAAGTTAAAGGAGGCAAGAAAGACAAAACATCCAGGTCTGATGTGACTTTCCGGATGGATGCTGGCCTAAGCAAGCCAGCTCTAAAGAAGGTATATTTAGGCTGGGAAGGTTTCTCAGTGGTTGAAGCTCTTGCTGCACAAGCATGAGGATTGGAGTTCAGATCTGCAGAATTCATGTTGATGCTGGGTGGGTGTGGTGGTCTACTTGTAGCTCCAGTGTAGACAGAAGATCCCTGGAGCAAGCCAGGCTAGCCATATTGGTAAGCTCTGGGCTCAACTGAGGGACGCTGCCTCAATGAATAAGGGAAAGAGCAATCAAGGAAGACTCCTAATGTCAACCCTGGGCCTCTACACACATGTGCATGTGAACTCACACACATGATCAAGTATACACATATACATGCACATACCACACACATACACATATGCAAAAAAGAATATATTTAAAGCAGACTTAGTATTACATGAATTCATATATACATATGTATGTGTGTCTCATATTTTACCCAATCACAGCAGCCACATTATTAAAAATCCTAAGGACTATTTCACTAATAAATGTTTGGCATAGATAAACACAATGACTCAGGGTCAAAGAGTTCTATTTAATTCAACAATTAACCTATAAGCCAATTCATCTTATCTCCTATCAGTAGGCTAATATAGTTGCACATATAGATAACTATAGGGTCTTCAACTCCCTTGTTAAATACTGGGAGCAGCACAGGCTCTGTGGAAAACGTAGATAAACGTAGACATCTTTTCTTTTTTTTTTGTATCAGATGTAATTTTGAAGGTATTCTAACTTAATATGTCAAAAACATGGATAATTAAAGACTATAGATATGCTATACCACTTCTTGGAAAAACTGATGGATAGGAAATTCAAGAAAGATATGCAAACAGACATTTACATTAATGATTTTTTTTTTTTGGAAAAAACTGCATCATTGCAAGTACTTGAAATTGAGCACAGGTGACTGACTCATAGCTCTGGTCAGGAATTAAATAAATTTCCCAAAATGACACCCAACTGAGAGCAGTACAGATAATTCATTCCCAGATTGCCTTTCTGGACCCTGAACCACACTCTGGTATCCAGAGACTAGAAACACTCTGTGCTTTACAGGAAGGGGACAGCCAATCCACTGAATTATGAGCAGAGAGTTTCTTGTTCTCGTTAAAAACTAGTTTTGCTTTTGCTCTGTCTATTTTACTTTGAGAGTGTGTGTTTTCTTAACCCAGGTGACTTCAAGTTCTCACCCCAAAATTACTGTCTCCTTAATTATTTGAGTTGGCTGAAACACTGTCTTCTTTTAGACCTGATCTATCAAGTACAAATCAGTTCCCTAAAGGTGGGCTCCCAGATTCAGTGTAAGTAAAAACTCATGTTATTCTGTACAGCTGCTGACAATGCTTCTACTAAAAGATGAGCTGCTATGAAATAACTCTGAAATTAAATTATTTCACTTTGTTAGATTTCAATATACTCTGATATTCCAACTATGTTTTGAATTCATAAAGTACCTCTTCACCCCAGGATTTAAAAGCTTCATTCAAACATAAATCCACTAATCTCTCACACTGCTCTACAAAGTCCAAAGTGCATAGTCTAACTTTGCATACAAAATACTTCCAAAATGAGCTTATATAAGTCAGTCATGTTTTCGGCAGTCCTGCAGAGGGCTACAGTTCCATATCCCCCAACAGAGAAAACTCCATATACAGGTTGTTTTTAAATTATCTCATATAAACACTTTAAAACTGAAAACATTTTTTACTCTGCTAAAAAGATACATATAAAAAGCAAATAAGTGGCAAATATATTTGCTGTATTTCTAAAAATGGCTTACCTATTAATGTAACTGAGGGCGACATAGGTTGGCTGCTGTAATTCTTGCTTTTCTAAAACACGTGGATCTGTATCTGCAAAAAAAACATAATTATGATTTTTTTTAGGTTTTTGCATTAGGATATGAGGCTACCTAACATAAACTAGCAGGAGCTAAATGAGAAAAAGATTAACTTAGAAGACATTGTTTAAAAGAAAACTCAGAGAAGCCCAGTCATTTGTTTATTCATTCAGAAACAACAAGATATTGCATTACTTTTCAAGGGAATTCCAAACATCAACACTGATGAAACGCCCATCTGTCACACAAACTTGCACAATCCCCCTCATAAATATTGGTTTTCACTGCTTACAGTTACAATGTTGGCATGGTTTTTGGTGGTTAATCGGCCTAAGAAAGAAAGTCTCTGTTAATTATGCTCACTTCAATGCTGGAACAAATTAGTTTCCATTGGAAAGCTCCATCAATTTGAAAATCTACTGAGTATTGTTCTTGTTCACTGAACACCTCTCTGAGTCTGGATTCATATTCTGGAGGGTAGCTCTTCTCCTTTTTGAATGTATAATGAGTTAATTACAGCTTTTCCAGACTCTTAATCAGAAGTTCTCTTAGTGGTTCCGAGTAGACAACAGCACATTTACAAGAGAGGCTTTCCCTCTAAGACGTAGAGTGCCACAATGCATCTCTGCTCCATGGTGGCATGTCTCTCTGAGATGCACAGTGCCACACTGCAGCATCGCTCCACAGTGGTACATATTTCTGAGACGCAGAGTGCCACACAACAGCAGCAGCACTCCATGACGATGCTTCTCTAGGCCAGTAGTATACTCTTACAACCAGAAATGTTCTCAGAAGCTTTGCATGTGGAAAAATTATTGGCTAACTACATGCAAAAACAACAATCACATAACAACATACGGAGGAGAAAGTCACTACACACTTTTCTTGGAAAAAGGTTAAGACATTTCACACAGATTTCATTAAAACCTCACCTAAACCATCACATTATTAGAAGTCTTCCAGCTGCACTTGGCAGTAACACCTCCTTTGATGTCATGACAGATGTTGTTTCAAGCACCTTTGCACAGCAAGTGTTTACTACATGTGGTAGATGTGAGATACACACACTAACTCCAATGTGCATTAGCAGGTGATGGGGGAAGGGAGCAGACACAGTGGCAGAGAACACGAATGGCAAAAACGATCACAGAGACATTGCTTTTGATCCCCAGCCTATACCCCTGGGCAGCAAAGCCGGCTTTGTTCTCAGTGTTCACGGTCTCAGTTCACTCTATGGTTTTTCCAATTTCAGGGAACCCTATTTAGAAATCCTTCTTCCTTGGTCTCTGCCATTGCAAGTCCTTGAAAGCTGATTTCTGAAAGAAGAGTTTGAAAGGCTTCATCTGGCCCAGTCTCAAGGTTTTGGCAGCACGAATGAGAACAGATCAGCAATTCCAGTTTCCTCTCCCTCCTACCCCAATTATATAAGCAGCTGAGGCTACATGCTGTTGAGGCTGCAGCTTGATCACTGGTTTAGAGATACATTAAGGGGACGTGGTTTTCAAGCACAACCTTTAACACTTATCTAAGTCTGTTGCAACCCCAGCATATCTCTGCATTTCTGTGAAGAATGTGCTTGCTGAAGGTGAGTCCATAGAACTGTGCTTCAGGGAAACATGTCTTGTCTAAAGGAATGGCCCACTGGCATACTGGGCAGGCCACAGGTGCAAATGGTAACTGACATCCAAGCCTACAAGGCCTTTCAAGGTCCTTAACAAAGGAACAGATGAGATTGGAGATAGAAACCATGAAAATGGTAAGAAAGGAGGAAGATAAGCAAGAATAAGGTGGCAACAGGAGATGTCTCTGGAAAAATTCTCAAGTTTTCAAAAACAGTTCACTTGGGGTTTAGGAACTGATGGAGGGGCTGCACTTTTGAGGCAGGGCCCAAGTTGAAAGCAAAAAACTCCACCGGGAATTTAAAAGCTGTGTCAGGGGCGCAAAGAGTAAGGAAGCCAGGAAACGTCTTGTTGTTTTTCAGACAGGGTCTCCCTGTAGCCCCGGCTGGCCTCGACCTCACAGAGATCACCTGCCTCTGCTTCCCAAGTGCTGGGAGTAAAGACGTGCCACCACGCCTGGCCTAGTAATCAGTTTTAGATCATCTTTCATTTTTGTCTTTGTTCTTGCAACTGGCTTGCTATCTAACAGATTTCCTACAAAACATCTCATTCCTCTGTTCTCAAAGAGTATAATTTCTAAAATATTTTAAATGTTATTTTCCTACGTATTCTGAGTTTAATTTTTCTCTTTTATTAATGTGTGCACATGCATGTTCAAGCATATATAATTACATTATTCTTTTCTACTTCAAGTTTGTGATAGTTTAGATCTTGAAGGTTTCATAAAGGCCTGGGTGTTGAATGCTTGGTTAGAAGGTGGTCAAGTCTCTAGGACATGGGGCCTAATGGAGGAAGTCAAGCCACTGGGAATATACCTTCGAAGGAGATTTTGAGACCCTGCCTCCGCCCCCAGCTTTCTACACACTGTGAGGGAGTTGCTTCCTCTACCTGTCCCAGTTATGGCCTTCTGCGATACCACAGGCCTAGAAGCAATGCAGCCTACCAACGTTGGACCAAAACCTCTGAAACCGTGAGCCATGCACATTTTCTTCCTAACAAGTTAAGCATCTCGACTGTTTTGTCATAGCAATGGAAACTAGAATAACACAGGGAAAGTTCTAATATCTCTTTGGAGTAAGGAAGTCCTGCAACTCTCTGATGCTTAACTGAGTGGTGTTATCCTTGACATATACACAAACTGCATGTTAATCTTCCTTCACAAAGAATCAAGCATGCTCAGCACTGTACTTGCAAAGCAAGATTCTGACAATCTATTCATTGTTTCACCATGGTCTACAGCCTATGCTTGGCTTATGCTTTCATATCCGTAAGTTATAAGTGGGAGACAGATTTCTGGAAGCTTCTAAATGTCACCTTCTCCATAACAAAAAGAATACTGGAAATTTCTTAGAAAATTCCATTTTTTTTTCTAGAATACTTAACCAAGATGACATTAGAACTTCTGGACAGATGTCACCCAGGTCTCCACCCTCTTTTAAGATTAAACTATTACTAAGACAACCCCAATTAAAATATCCACCAAAGCTTAAAGTTCTCAAAAACGAAATGAGGCACTTGGTGTCCATCCACAAATCAGGAGAGGCCAGAACAGGGATATTGGAGAAAACATATCAGCTGCTTGTCCCAAACAAACATTGATATTGTCACTTTCTTTCTGGCTGGTAGCTGTTTGGTGATCATGACTCACTGTTTTAGAGATTTAATTACTCTGCTGAGCACTTCACATTCAGTAGAAGTACAATAGCTCCTTCATTATTTCTCTTTCCTTGATAGCAACATAACCATCTGATGCTAAACATGCTCCACAAGGGCACACTCCAGAGACAGAATGGGCTGTTTGCAGTGGAAGCTTCCAGGCCTGCAAGGTGATCTTCTCCTCCAGGGAACTAAGAAGGTAGAAGGAACACTAGCACCAGAGAGTCTCACTACCCAGCAGACAGTGCTGAATTCAATTAAAACCTTCCTTATTCTATGTGCCATGCCATTCAGAAATGTTTTACATATGATAAGTCACTACAATAAGGAATCTAATAAGAACTGAGAGGGCCACAGAACACCATCCCTCAGCTAGTTCTCTGGCTTACTTGTTCATAGTGCCAATAAAATGTGGAATTGGAATGTTGGCAGCAGCTGCTTGGAGATTATGATCCACTTCAAAGTGGTCTGTGGATAGAAACACTTGAATTTTTCTCAGCCACATGATGCTCCTTAAGCAAGCAATTGTATCAATTTGTACAGTGTGGCTGATACACAGTGACATGTGACAGTTCTCTGCCACTTTCATATCACTAAGAAGTGACAGGAAGAGAAACTTCAGCTTTTCCAGTGGGGCAAACAGAGCACGAGCGTAGATTATAACATTGCCTCAGTCTGCCTCAGGTCACCCTGCAGTCTTTCTCCTGCGCATGCTAGGAGGCTAAAAGAATCCAAGTATTAAAATGCACTTGAAATGATTCAAGCAATGAAAAAGCTGATACTTACTTTCAAGCTTCTATAACAGCAGCCTGTAAAGTGGCTGCCAATAGATGTCTTCTGTCATTTCCCTCTGGTGAGGTAACAGCCATTTGTCAGCAGACCCATGTACAAAATGCAAGCTTTTCCTAGTTGTGATCCTAGCAACTCAAGGTTTTACCTGCTGAGTTGAGTTGCAAAGGCCTCACTGTCACTAGTTCCAATAGCTTCTCAAGCAACATCAGTCAATAAAATAGGATAAAATAAAAACGAAAATACTAAAACAAAAAAAGTAAGGTGAAGGCGGAGACTAGAAAAGTAGCATTCAAAAGGTATGGGAAATGTGATGTGCCGACAAAAGGCAATACCACAGCCCTCTTGCTCAATCTCTAAAGGCTCATCAGCTTTTCCAGCACTGGAAACCAATGGAAATCAAAGCTCTGGGTTTGTGACTTTTTCTTTTTTTTTTCGAGGGCAGAGTCTTGTGGACTCCAGACTGGCTATATATCTGTGGATGACATTGAACTTCTGATTGTCCTGCCTCTGCCTCCTGAGTGCTGGGATTATAGGTATACACTACCACCTGGCTTTTTGTAATTAAAAAAAATATTTTATTATTTTTATTTTATGTGTATGAGTGCATTGCCTGCATGTATGTAAAGAGCACCCATGTCATGCAATGCCTTCAGAGGTCAGAAGAGGGCGTTGGACCCCCTGGAACTGGATTACAGATGGTTGTTAACTGCCCTGTGGGTGCTGGGAACCAAACCCAGGTCCTGTGCAAGAGCAGCCAGTGCTCTTAACCACTGAGCCATCTCTGCAGTCCTTTTTGTGATATTTTTAACAATCTTTTGTGGTGCCGTCTTCAAGCCTATGTGACACTCTGTCAGTGTTATTTAGTGGCTCAACCAATCCTAAATAATGAACTCATGGGCTTTGGCAGTGACTTAGCTGGTGTACCTTGTTGGGATTTTATGTATCT